TCTTCTTCTTCTTCTTCTTCTTCTTCTTCTTCTTCTTCTTCTTCTTCTTCTTCTTCTTCTTCTTCTTCTTCTTCTTCTTCTTCTTCTATGATGAAATCAGGCGCTTGTTAAAATAATACATTTGAAGAAAAGGACACTTCCTCCCCGTCCGTTCCGCAAATTAAAGGAGTTTATTTTAGGTCATCCCTGTTTAAAACACATGCGGGTGACTTTAGAACGACAGGTGTACGCCATTGGCCGATATTTATAGTAACAACAATCTTGTTTGACATCATTGAAGGATTCCCACTTTTTTGTCGTTCACTGTGGCAACACGACCGCACAGCACTATTGCAGTGTTTTTTAAGTCTGTGGCTTACAGTGGCGTGGTGACGGAGTGTTTAGTGCGCATGTCTCCAAAGCAGAAAGTCCAGGTTCGAGACTCGGTTCGGCCTCAGATTTGTTTTCCGCCCCCTCCTGCCCACCACCTGTAATAAGTACCTGACTTTGAGTTTGGGAAGTAAAGGACTAACCGCTACGTTTTGAAAATTTTATTACGAATTGTGTCACTGGGCTAAATAATGACTCTGAATAAAGAAATCGGGAATGGTATTTATATCAATACTTTCCTGTTGGTTGCAGTCACTAAACCATTGGTATCTTCTATAGCTTTTAAAAAATAATTTTTAACTTGTATGTATGCATGCATGCCATTATGAATTTATTTTCCCTACGATATTACCTAAACTTTATTAAGCAGCTGAGACTGATTTAGTTACCCATTGAGAATATGGTGTGTTTGGGCACAGATCTCTTTTATTCTTTTTATCCGGGCTCAGAGTCTAAAACTAATAAAGATGTATTAAAAGCGATCGTCTCCGAACGCATCTATATTTTATCAGCTGGTGAGTAAAAACTAAATAGTCTCAGCTGTTTTGAATAAGATTCATATAAATAAGTTCAATTTTATTGATATCCATGGAGAAATTTAATTTCATATGACGTGCACACACCTAATCATAGTATGCAAAACCCCTCATCCGGCCTTTGAGTATAATATAAAGCTCTTAATTTTTTTTTTTATGACAGCGGTGAGATGACAGAGGATATGATTAAATATTATTTTAAATGTCAAATGCCACTGAGTGTGGATTGCAAAAAACAATGAGCCTTATGAGCGAAAGATGAGAAAAAATCTAAGACCGGAGATATCGAAAAGACAGTTTGGCTTTATTTCTAACAAGAGCACCAGAAATGCTACAAAATCATTATTTACCTTAACAAAACATTTTTTAAATAGAAATATGCACTATAACACAGAAATATCTGTTTTTATGCATCATAGACTATTCAAAGGCATTTCATAAAGTCAGACATGATGAGCTATTTAAAATTACTTTTCTTCTCCTTCTGTGCAACCCCCTTCTATGTCTCAGGAGTAGTCGACTTGTTTCCGCAATCAGCAGTGCAGCAGATTTTTACTATGCAACCGTTTTTCCTGCTTCCTTGAGCCGCTTGACTTAAGGCAACCACATTCCTATTTTGGCGGTACAAGCACCCAAATCTTTTTCGTACTAACCAGAATATGTTCAGTTTTTGTAGGAATTAATTTTACTTTTTTTTACAGTTGGCAGCCTCATCGACCTCCAAGGGATCTTTTATGTAACGTATTATTTGCCCCATCTACTGACTCTTCGTTACATTCTCCACTCGCTGGTCAAGATTTAGACCATCTAACAGCTCTTCCATTTTCACCGGATTCCTCTTAAGCAAAGCACTGCTTATCCAAAACTGCGGTAAAGCGAAAGAGAACAAAATCCATGTTTTTCGGCGTTTTTTTTAATTTTAACTGAGCAGAATCTCTAAATCGAAAACCCTGCTACACCGAAAAATAA